CAGTGGCTTGGCGCGGGGTGGGGCAGGGTGGGCGGGGAGAGAGCCAGGAGCTCCACGTGGCCAGGGGCCCGGGGCTGCCTGGGGCAGAACCGCCGCGGTGGCGGCCGCTGCGGTAGCCGGGCGGGGCATGGGACCGAGGGCCTCCAGGCCTCGCACCAGTGCGACTGGCAGGGGGACACGGGGCGGAGTGGGGGAAGCAAGAGTCTTTATGGGAACTCACTTTCGGAGGGTCTCACCGTCCCCCCTGTGCCATCGCCATCTTATCGGAACCTCCCGATTGTATCTCTTTCTACTCCTTCCCAATCTGTGCTGCTCTTTCCCTGGTTACTGGGATACATAGTTTGCTTACATAGGGCAGAAAGTAAAAAGTAGCAGAAATATGGCCAACTTCTCCTATTTAAAGGTGCCTTATTTTGGCCATGTTAGCCTCTGCTGGATTGGAGCTTGGCTATTCAATAGGGTTATTTCCTTCTCCCATGCCCACCTATCTTGTGACCCGTACCTCTTTTCTTTCTTTACTAGAATGTAGATGTTTGGAGACAAGAATATTTCAAAAACAAATGTCCCATCTCTTTATCCAAAATGATTTCACTGAAGGCTTTCCTTTTGTCCCCCAGCTTTGGGTGCGTGAAAAAGCTAGGAAGTTTTTGCATTGCTCAATATCCCAACAGTGATTACGAAGCACAGATTCTTGGACCCACTTCAACCTTCCAAATTAGCATCTCTGGAGATGGCCTCTAGAAATCTAAAGTTTTAGCAAATTGTTCTAGCGATTCATAACACTTGAGATCCATGGATGGTAAATTCTGTATTATCTAGTCATTTTCCACTGAGGGAAAGCTCTAAAATCACTACTGGGTGTAGTAATACGAAGTGGTGCTTGTGCTGCTGCAGAGTTTGTGATAGGAGAGACAAGTGCATAGATACACAAAGGTTTGTGGAGCAGGACTCGAGAGAAAAATGTAAGTTATACATGTTGGGTTTTGTTTGTTTGTTTGTTTGTTTGTTTGTTTGTTTGTTTTTGAGTTGGAGTCTCACTCTGTCACCCAGACTGGAGTGCAGTGGCCGCTTCCGGTCACTGCAGCCTCGACCTGCTGGGCTCTGGCGATCCTCCACCTCAGTCTTCCAAGTAGCTGGAACTACAGGCGCGCGCTGTGGGGGAATTTTTTCTACCCAAGATGCTACTTATAGATGCTGAAGTAATAAAAACATGAAAAGTAGGTCATTTTCCATGTAACACTGTAAGGATTTTGAAAATTGTCAATAATGTGTCACATGAACATTGTATGTTTCATTTAATTAGACCAATAGCTTGAAGATTTAATCTTCATAGTTCGTGACTTATGTATTGGTTTTCTACTCAAGACCTTAAAGTAATGAAAGGAAATGGTGATTGTGAAGCTTTGTGTGACCTATAAGCCTTCTAATATCAGTAATTACATTTATCAGTTCTTTTTTTTTTTTTTTTTTTTGAGTTGGAGTCTCACTCTGTCACCCAGACTGGAGTGCAGTGGCCGCTCCCGGCCACCGCAGCCTTGACCTGCTGGCTCCGGCAATCCTTGCGCCTCAGCCTTCAAGAGTAGTCGGAATTACAGGCACGCGCTACCACGCCGGGCTGATTTTTTGATTTATTGTAGAGATGAGGTCTCGCCAAGTTGCCCAGGCGGGTCTCGAACCCGCGGGCTCAGGCAATCCACTCACCTCAACCTCCCAAAGGCACGGGATTACAGGCTGAGCCACCGAGCCCAGCTCATTTATTAGTTCTTAGATAGAGGATAGTACTTACCAAAGAGAGAAGAATTTGGGAGTTTAACTACTTTTTCTCTGAATTGCCTAATTTAACATTGATTTTAAATCTATAGCAAATAAACTGCATATACCTATCTAAACTTCTGTATGATGGATTCTGAAGATAAAATATCTAGAAAACATTTTAAAAAAACAATCCTATTATTTTAAATGCCATATTCTTTGTTAACTGTAAATTACAACTTATATAAAGGCCTCATGCACTTTTGGGACAATTATTATTACTGATTTTTTAAATTTTACATTATTACTATAAATAGTATTGTGCATATAGATAATTTATATACATAAAATATAAATTATGCATATCAATAGAATGCATTGGTTGTATAAGTATTGCAAAATCTATAAATAAATATAATGAACTGCAAAATAAGAAACACATGGCATAGTAATTGTAAGACTAATTTTTATAACTATTGAGTAAATACATGAATTAAATGTTGAGTAAATAGCCTGCAATTCTTTTTTGCATTTTTTTTTTTTTGTTTCTTTAAAATTTTTATTTTAAAGATATAGGGTACAATTCAGGATTAGGTATACAAACAGTCATTGTACAGGTAAAGTTTGGACTTCACTTAGGTCCCCACTTCACCTGGTTTGAAATCAGTTATCCTTATTGATGAAGTGTCTGCCTTACCCCCAATAATTTCCCACTACTGCCAATCCTATTACCTGCAAGTCTTAACAGGCAGGTTAATCAAGTGAAAATTATAACCAGCTGAGCTTTAAAAATATATAGTTAACATGTGATAGAGAAAGAGGTTCAGAAATAGAACACCAGAAAAGAGATTTTACTTTCTCTGCTCACCCTGAATAGGGTGATGTGAACAGAGGAGTTTCAGTGTACAGTGGATTGGGATATGGTTAGTCTAAAACTATCAGTATGCCAAACATAGGTGAAGTACTGATTTCTTTGATGTAGAGAAGGCCTTTTTACAAGCCAGTGGGGCCTCTACAACACCATAATGACCTCCTGACTCAGCATCTGGGCCACAACTAACCACTAGGAGAAAAGACACCCTCCCCTACCTGAGCCCAGATAAACCAACAAGACACGTCTCTCCCTTCTGCCCATCACACCCTCAGTCCTCCCTTCCTATTTTCAACTGCACCCACAGAACCCTACCCATAGCTGTACGAAGCATCCCAGGGTGCTGGTGCAAGTGCATACATTAAAATCAGACTGCCTCAGTTTAAGTCTCCCCACACCATTTAAGCAATCAGCACCCAGTTTGTTCTGATTGTAAAATGTATAGCACTGTGATAAGAATTAAATACGATGATATAAAGTCCTTGGTACTACACTTGACACCAAGTAGATTCTTCATAAGTGGGAGTTATTTAGTTGCTATGAAGACTTAGGTACATTTCCTCAAGTTGTAATGCAATGTGCTTGTCAATGGATGCTTACTGGATGTTTGGGTATTCATTAGCTTTATGGATGACTACTACTTAGGTGATAAGTTGAGAAATAAAACAAAGCTATGAATAGATAGATTTAAAAATAGACATACAATAACTTCTCACCCTTTAGACATTTGTAATGACTTGGACTTTAACATTTTAAATACCACATGAAAGTAGGCATTTGCAACTGTTAAGGATTGAATCAATAACTCTGTCTATGATTGTAGTCATTGAATTTTAATTTCATTGTGAATGTGGCTTGATTGGCTTAATTCCAGCAGGTAATTCCTTGACCTAAAGATATTGCAGGTTAATAGCACAATTAGGGGTCCTTGCACAATTTCAATTTATAATATACTTGAAATTTAATCTGTCCTATAACACAAATATTATCTTTTACCAATGTATTATCAATGACCAGTATCACATATGGAAGATATTCAAGTACATGTACTAGATTATAAACATCATGATAGGTTTTACTGCTTGCCTTAACTTTGTGTGAATTCAAGAACCCCTTAAATGAGAGAATGCGCCTGATCTTCCTTTTATTAGTACTAGAATTGCTGCAGTTGTCTGGAGAAGTCATAGGCCAGAAGGCCGTTTTCACAGCAGTGGCATGCAATCTAATGCAGGGGTTATACAATGTAGTCATATATTTGCATAAACTTGGAGTTTTAATTTGAAATTATCTTTAAAATTGTCTGGTGGCTTATTCCAGATTCATTAAATCAGAATTGGGGGAGGAGAGGAAGCAAGCATGAGTGTTATTTAAAAGCCAAAAAAAAAAAAGTACATATACACAGTGGAATATTATGCAGCCATAAAGAAGGACAAATATGGATTTTGCAGCAACTCGGATGGATTTAGCGTCTATCATACTCAGTGATCTATCACATAAACAAAGAACGGAGTACCATATGTTCTCATTCATAAGTAGACCTTGAACATATATAGTATTCAAGTAGACCTTGAATACTATAAGAAAAGGATTGGCAATAGTGGGAAACTGCCAGAGGAGGGGGTGTGGGATTGGCAGTTGAGGAAAACTGCCAGGGGAGGGAGGGGCACACCTGATCAACAAGGGTACCTGCATAATGAACATTAGTATACCTAACCCTGAATTATACCCCACATCTTTAAAATAAAAAATAAATAAAAGCACTTTAGGTGTTCTAATTTACAGTCAGAGATCAGAACCACAATCTGGAACTAGAGATCAAGAGATGACTTAAGAGAAATGATAGAAAACTAATACCACAAGACATTTTCTATGACCTGATCAGAAAAAAATATGAACAAATATTTTTAAAGAATTATTCAGAGAAATTCAAGAACATTTCAGTATAAAACTACATAGTCCTGAAATTTCTATTTCAGTAAGTGCTTTGGGTAGAGAATGTCTCATACCTCTTTATCATAATCTTTAGGAGAAATTTGGAGCCGTCTAAGTGGAAAGCAATCTTAGGCTTGCATATGACATCGAATTTGACTTCTCCTCAAGTAGTAACTCGGTTGATAGATCAAATTGTCATAAATCCACATTACAATAAAAGAAGAAAGGACAATGACATTGCCATGATGCATCTTGAATTTAAAGTGAATTACACAGGTAAAAGAATTCATTTTTAGTTATCTTATTTGTGTCTTCATCTCTGTGTTTTCATGGGATTCGATTTATACAGGTAGCATGTACTTATCAAAGGTAAACTAGTTGTTTAGCCCTTTCCTTGAAGGTAAGCACTATATCTTACACATTTTTGTATCTGCGTGGGTCTTACATGCAATGTGTGCTTCATTATGTCAGGTAGCTTATAAATTGATGCAGAAGGGCTTTAAAAGTTAGTGACCAGCCGGGCTCGGTGGCTCAGCCTGTAATCCCGCGCCTTTGGGAGGCTGACGTGAGTGGATTGCCTGAGCCCGCGGGTTTGAGACCTGCCTGGGCAGCGAGACCTCATCTCTACAATAAATCAAAAAATCAGTCAGGCATGGTAGCACATGCCTGTAACTCTGGCTACTTGGAAGGCTGAGGCGAAAGGATCGCCGGAGCCCAGCAGGTCGAGGCTGCGGTGGCTGGGAGCAGCCGCTACACTCCAGTCTGGGCTACAGAGTGAGACTCCAACTCAAAAAAAAAAAAAAAAAGTTAGTGACCAATGTTAATACTTCCATAAGTGCCTTGTAAAGCAATCTCCTAAAGGTTTCTTTTAACGAAGGAAAGTCAGAAAAACATCAGAAAATTTGCCCAACTTTTTTTTAATTGATGCTGAAAATCAGCCAAGCCAAAATTTTCATGGGACTGGCAACATTTTCTATTGAGTAACGTAATTATTTAAAAATAAAATATAAATTATTCATTCCAGTGTTAAGACATTGTTTACACCATAAAAGAGTAATTAGGAAACTTTACAGTAGATCCTAAAAGGCCCCAGTGGTAGCTGATCCATTGTCAAAGAAGTGCTGTTCAGAAATGCCTCCTTCCCCTAAGATTAATGTCTACCAAATTTGTCCAAGCAAGACAAAACAAAAATACAAGTTTTTTTAGATTAAATGTTGACAAAAATAATTGTCTTTTAAAACTTGTTAGAAATACATGTACATCTGTTTTTGTTTTGTTGTTATTGTTAGTTTTTTGTTTAATTGTTTTGTTTGTTTGCTTTTCCAGATTATATACAACCTATTTGTTTACCAGAAGAAAATCAAATTTTTTCTCCAGGAAGAAATTGCTCTATTGCTGGCTGGGGGAGAATTATTTATGAAGGTAAATTAGAACACTCAAAAAAAGATAATGTGTCCTAGTAAAAGAAAATATGCTGTCATAGTTACCCGTGATTATTTTCAACAGTTTTTGCAACTCTTATAACACTTTTTGCAGTATCCCTTAAATCCACTGTCAGGCTTATATTCGTATGTTATATATTTTTTCTTAACAATTTCTCAAGATTGTGTAGAACATATTATGCAATTATAATCATTTTGAAGGAAAATTCAAGTCTCCTCTAAACTCAATATCTTATTTTTGCATTATAAACTCTCTGATAAAGAGAAAATATACCTCATTAAAATGAATATAATCAAATGTTTCAAAAATTTATTTTTGTAAAGCACATACAATCTCATCGAAAACCAAATTATCATCCATCATATTTATCAGTTCAATAAAACTTTTAGGTATAATATAAATGAGTCACACTCACCTTCCTTAAAATGAGAAAAGACTTGCTTCTAGCTTCAATATGCTAATTTTGCCTACTGATAAGAAGACTTAGATATGGCATGAATCTTACACTGAGGACCATAAATTGATATGCCTTTCACCTTGTAGTATTATTTAATCACAGGAGTTAATGTTGGAAAACAAACACAAAAATATGCACATTTAAAATAATCATACATAATTTTTTTTAAAAATCCAGTACTTCATATCCTCTAAATGTAACTACAAGGCTCATTGGCTATGGATTTCCTAAAAGGAATACCCCATCTAGGACAGAGTTCTGACCACTCATAAATAAAAAAGCAAACAGGAAAGACATTATAGTCTGGTAGGAAGGCCTAATCTTTGTAGTTACAACAAACTATAGCCATTATGTATAAAAGTTCTTATTAATTGTATTTAATATGAAAATCTTACTGATAGGTACAGGATCTCAGAATCAAAATACTCACAGCTATAATAGCCTTACCTTTTTTACAAAGGAAAGAATAACGTTCTACGTCAATTGCTTGCCTGATGATTACGACAAAGGCTCTCCACACACATTATATTACTGAAAATGCCATGTTTGCTGTGCAAAAAGTATATAAGTCAGAGACTATATAATCATTTATTTATTTTGTCTACTTGAAAAATGTTATTTATTAAATGTGAAATTTAAGCAGTAAAAATTATTCCTAGATAGATATTTTCTTTCAGACTTCAAGCTAAAAGACAGTTTATAGCCACAATGCAGATTTTTCAAAAACAAATTGTCTACTAACAAATTGTAATACTATTCTAGAGGAAATGTTTTATTTTTTAGAGCTGAGTAAATATGGCTCACATTTTCTTATTGTTACTAAAGATACATGTTTAATTGACTTAAGGAAGTCTCAAAGAATAGTATGGAACCAGAAAAAAAAACTATCTGAAATCAATTTCACTTAGGAACAATTGACCACATCATGCTTAAATATTTCTTGGGTAATGGCAATTAATAAAATTTTATGAACTTTGTTTTATGATTCTCATGTACTTAATTTTATAAAAATCCAAGTTTTCCATCTTTTGAATACTTTACACTAATTAAATAGCTAGGAAAATCATGAACATATTGTTCCCTAGGAAGACATGAGGTGCTATTAGTTGGTTAAATCAAGGCAATCAGGCCGGGTGAGGTGGCTCATGCTTATAATTCCAGCACTTTGGGAAGTGGAGGCGAGAGGATTGCCTGAGCAACTTGGTGAGACCTCCTCTCTACAATAAATCAAAAAATTAGCCGGTTGTGGTGACTCACACCTGTGGTTCTAGCTACTTTGAAGGTTGAGGCAGAAGGATTGCCTAAGCCCAGCAGCTAGAGGCTGCAGTGGCCGTGAGCATGCCACTGCACTCTAGCCTGGGGGACAGAGTGAGACTCTGACTAAAAAAAAAAAAAAAGAAAGCAAAATTAAGGCAATCAGTAAGTAGCAAGTAGACACTACTCAGATTTTCCTTTATCAAAGAGTTTTATCATCTCCCAAATAAATTTTGAATTCATTGATAAACAGCAAAAAGTACCTTGGTTTTTACTATAAAACTAAAGTCTATCTACCCATTTTATCTTCATAGGATGGATTACAGTGAGATGCTGAATTTTCTTGTCCATTTCAAGCTCCCCAAATTATTTTCTTAACTTAAAGTCCATTGTCAAACTTGAAAAAGTCATCCAGTACTGTTCACTCCATATTTACTGTCATGCTGGTCTCTTGACATTGGCCATTGTGAGAATGTTTACGTGAAGCAAATGGAGACACTGGCTTTTCATTTTATATATTCATTTTTAGAAAACCAGCGGTTGTTTCACAGTCACCAACACACCACTGAGTCATATATATGCTGCCTTGCATCTAAGTTACACACACACACACTTCCTTTGTTTCTGTAGTCTTTTTAGTGCAAGGGATTAAACGTAGCTGGAAATAAGGTCACATATATTTTTGAAATAACATTGACTGTTAAATGTATTAACTTATCCACGACTTTCTGCTTCTCTTGAGGAATCAAATAGAAATGCTAATTACTAGAAAGTGCTTATCATGTACCTTTTCTGGGGCATTAGACACCTGCTTGTTTCACATGTCTCTTGAGATTAGTATTTCAGTAAACAGAGATTCATACTTCCAGTGGATGAAGCATTTTGCAAAAAGAAGGCAAGAATATTCTGCTTTTTAAAAAACGTCTCCTTTCTCTTCACCTGCATGTGATGATAAGCTATAGACCAGGGCACAGTTCATCTGAGCTTTGTCCTCTGCTCTGTGTGCATCTGCTCACTCACACAGCACCACAAAGACGCTGAATGCCATTATGCAGAAGGGAGCACCTCCTCAGGTGCCAAATGAAAGCACTTCTGAATTTCTGAGCTGTTGCTAATTTCCATGAATGAAACTCTTTGTGTTGGCAGGTCTTTTTTTTCCCCTCAAAGGCAATACTGTAACTGTTTAAAATTACTGAAGATGTCCAAAGACCATCTAGTCTAATTCACCATTCCTACTAGCCCTTGGGGAAAAAAAAAAGTGCTTTGCTGTAATCCAGTTAGCAAAATCCACAGATGGGCTTTATTATGTGCTTTAGAGTGCAAGGTTTAGTATTTAGTTTCATTTTATATACACACAGTACTTGATAATGAGAGTGAGATGTTGGAATAAATAAGACTGATGGTAATTCATTCAAGCATGCATGTAGATCACTTCTGACTAGCTGGTGGCGTTATCCATTCTGAACAGGTCCTACGGCAAACATATTGCAAGAAGCTGACGTTCCTCTTCTATCAAATGGGAAATGCCAACAGCAGATGCCAGAATATAACATTACTGAAAATATGATATGTGCAGGCTATGAAGAAGGAAGAATAGATTCTTGTCAGGTACAGATTTATTATTGCTCACCCTACATTTTCAGAAAGCACTGGTATATAATAATTTATCCTCTTAACAATAAAGAAAGAAATTGTAGAAGTTCTCCAACTTCACCTCTTTTTAAATTATTTTTATTTTTTATTTTTTTTACAAAGCAGTTACTTTTTTGCCTATGTGCATAGTAATCCTGAGTGGACCTGAGCATTAGAAACAAAACTAATTTTTAAGAACAAGTCAGATGTCTCTAGAGACAAGTCATAATACTTGGGTGTGTGAGGCAGCCAGCTAATGTAGGATTTGTGGACCTACAGCATTTATTTTTAAATTTTCAATTCTTTTAAGCTCTATGTAAACTTACAATAAACAAACAAAACAGGCTTGTGGACAAATTTGGTCTATGGGCCTCTAAATTCCCACCCTGAATTTGAAGTATGGTCCAAGTGTCCAGTGAGTTGAAGTAACTTCTAGTTGAAAAACAACCTGAGTAGCCGGGTTAGAACCAATTTATAGCTAACCAAGTGGCAAATAAATAAATAATAGACTGGCTTAATGTTAGCTCCGGAACTCATACTAGAATTTTCATATTATCTTTTGCATTTCATTTTGGAGAGGTAATAACATGAACTTGCTGCAGTTATAGTGTCAATACTCCAACAAATTGGAAGTGTCAATAGTTTTTTATTTGTGTGATCAACAAAAAAAGAACTCTTATCCACATACTTTCATTGAAACTGCATACTACCTAGAAGTAGTGTATCTGTCTATTAGCTCAATGAACTCCAAATACACTCAAGAAATAAAAATAAATTCTGTAAAAGTTTAGAGTCGTAATTAATTTTAGGTGCACCTGGAGTCATGAAGAGGATGAATTCTGTGTTCAGACTAATTTTTGTTTGATCCCAGTTTTAATGCTTTTTTGATGAGACTTGGGACAAGTTACTTGGGGTTAATTGAGAAGTTTAAATAAGATAACATATGTAAGGCACTAAGTAATCACTCAAAAAATATCTAACAGCTCTTATTATGAGACTTAGTAAATAAATTTTTGGCATTTTTTTCTGTACTTGAAAATTAATAAAATATCCACTGGATTAGATTAAACTTGATAGCATTACCAGTCAAATGAGTACTTGATAAATACAGAAGTAGCAATTTATATCGTGAGAAAATGGTTTCACTGTATTAAGGTATAGCAATTTTTTTCATATATTAACACATATGTGCCATAATCGCAATACATGACTTTTCTTTAGCACACAGTCATGTAGATAATGTTTATATATCTTCTAGTTAAATCAATGTCTCAAGACATGTTAAACTTCCAGCTTAGTTTTAAATTTATTCTGCTTGATAAATGCAAATTCAAGGAAAATCAGATAGCTGTCTTCTTGTTTAAAATTTATCTCTGGATCTTGCACTTCTTTTTGAAAATGAAAAGTGTGCTAAAGGTAAGATATATTGCCAGTTAAGTGGAGATTTATAGGATTTTTGTGCAGCAGGGAAATCAGCTGGACAACTTCAATTACAGTTAATGGAGATTGCGTAGCAGACACCTTACACACTAGGCAGAAAATATGATGGCTGATGCTATTGATGTTATGGTTACGTTAAGCCATTAAGTCATGCCAGGTTTCTGAAATCTTATAGTTGGCTCCAATTTCCAAAGAGTCTAAGTATGCTAGTCACTGGAAGTAAGAAATCTCCCACACAAGACAATGCCCTGTATAATATAATGTTAGCATAATTGAGAAATCAATACTCTAGACTGTCATATGATTCTCTTTGTTCAACTTTAATAATATGTTTATGAGAGGATTAACTGGTTAAATAAGAATGCATTATCTAAAATTGTGAACATATTTTTATTGATACATTATTTGAATAAGTCTTTGAAGCATTACTGTTTAGCCTTATGGTGACAAATAATTTTCCTCGTAAGTCATTTACACCTTCTTGAATTCTGGCTTACCAAAGGCTTGTCTTTTGGAGGCAGTTGTGTGGACACAAAGGTACCACTAGTGGCTGGAAAACGTCTTCTCTACATAAAACGCGGTGAATGCCACTCTACTAGCCATGCCAAACCATATTCCCACTGTGGTTTTCAATGCACGACTCCAGTACAGTAGACTAGCATCTCCTGAGAAGTTGCTGGAAATGCATATTCTCAAGTCCCATCATACACTTGCTGAATCCAAAATTGTGAATGTGGGGCCCAGCAATGTGTGTTTTGTCACGTCCTTCAGGTGATTCTGATGAATACTGAAATGTGAGAACTACCATTCTGAACGAAAATGGTCGCCAAATCTTAAACTCAGATACTCAATACTGGTAGTGACTTTTGTTTTATTTATAAGTAGGTATCATATCTAACTGGAAACATAAATTTAAGGTGAATACTTTATGTTCTTGGCATTCATGTGTATTTCTGAAGTACTTATACATTGCTGAGCTAGTGGAAAAAGGAAATATCTTCACTGAACAAATCAGAAAATTAAGGCAAGAGAAAGTTACATGACTGAACTGAAATTGTACAATTAGATGATGGAAAATGAGCAAAGATCTGGTTCTCCCAACCACACAGACTGCCCAGCAGCTAAGCAAGTCTGCTGCATGACCCTTGAGTAACTGCAGCTGACCCAGTATGTGCTGAGTAAGGTAATATCCCTGTTCTGTGTGGATCCTCTTGTCTATTAAAAAATTAAATTATTTTAGAAAACGTGAAGGAAATCAACCGACTCCTTTAAAAAATATCCAGAGTCTATTTTTAATGATTTTTGAATCATATCAAACACATTTTGAGACTTGAATATATACTGTTCCACTAATATTTCTGAATGCATATTACAGATTAAGGGCTTAGGAGGAAGAAAAAAACCACAGTTTCTGCTTTCAAATAGCCGAACACATTTGTTACACCTAGCATACTGGTAACCTGTGGTTGCCAGTGCAATTTGTGTTCCTCTGAACCGGAGAGAAAAATTTATGTTCCTCTGTACCAAAGGAAAAAGGTGAGAGACCACATTTTTCCCTTAATTATAGGGCCAAAGTACTCTCCATTTGATGCAATGTACCTACAAAGGCGCTTTTTCCACGGCTCAAAACAGTTTTTGAACGCCTCAATTTTAATGCCTTTTAAGTGCTTCTGTCATTCTTCGTTTCACCTCTTCCACATCGGCAAAATGTTTCCCTTTGAGGACTTTGTTCGTCCAGGGAAACAAAAAATTGTCACTCGGGGCGAGATTGGTGAATAGAAAGGGCGGGGCATAGAGTCATGCCAGCTTTGGTCAAACACTGCTGAACACTCAGCAGTGGTGTGGGCAGGTGCATTGTCATGGTGGAAGAACCAGTCACCTGTTTGCCACCACTTGGGACATTTCTCCCATAAATCGTGATGCAAACTTCTCAAAATACCCAGATAAAAACTTTGGTTGACCTTTGGATTAGGAGGAACAAATTTTGAGTGTGCTATAAGGGGCCTGTCCTCCAAAAGATGATTCTATGTTTTGGAGGGTCCCCCTTGTACTTGGAGTATATATCTTTTAATATAATGATTGGCTCTTAATATATGTTTTTATTGGGGTGCTTTTCGTAGTTGTGCTTTAGAGAATTTCTTCGTATTCATCAAGATGCCATGATTAAGATGGGAGAAACTTTTACTGTAAAGGTGCATCCTCAAAAAGTATAAATTATGTTCTAGTTGTCATACTTTGTCTTCTTACTGAGGACCAAAGGGTTCTCACTCATGACCTAGAGTGAAAGTGAGAATATGTACAAATGACTTGCAATTAAATAATATTTTCTAATCTTTATTTTTGAATTGGTTTGCTGAAAACAATCTTATATATTTAAATCAATTGACTACATATATACAATTTTCTTTTGCAACTCACTCTTTAGGGGGATTCAGGAGGACCGTTAATGTGCCAGGAAAACAACAGGTGGTTCCTTGCTGGTGTGACATCATTTGGATACCAGTGTGCACTGCCGCATCGCCCAGGGGTGTATGCCCGGGTCTCAAGGTTCACAGAATGGATACAAAGTTTTCTATATTAGAATGTTTTTAAACCAAACATGAAATTTGGATAGTGTTCCCATTCTACTCTAAAAAGCATGAAAATCGAGAGTTTGGGGGGAAAAAAGTTACCAGAAGCCTTTATTCTTACCTAAGACATTGAAATTCTGGGCTTCGGAGAAACAAAGCAAAAAATAAAATTAAATAAATATTTGCAATATATGATAACTTTAAAATACATTTAAGTACATTTTGATCTTGTGAACAGCTGTTCCTTCAAATATATCCTTGCCTTTGTCTTTATTATTTTCTTTTATTTAAAGGAATTTTATTTTAAAATACGCATAAGAAAGTTTGAGCAAAATTAGTAAAAAGGTGAAATAAATTGTTTTCCCCAAAGTTTGTTCCCCAAATAAACTACTATAAATTGTCTAGTTCTCAAGTTAGCTTACTATTATTAGAATCTCAATAGTTTTCCTACTTTTCTATCCAAATGCCATTTTTATTTCAACTTTAGCATAACCTTAGCATTCCCCCTACTTATAAAAAAATGTGTTGATAGCTAATGTCACAGACCAAAAATTTGATTCTACATTCCTCTCATATAAATTAATTAAATAATAATTAGGTACAAGTCTGTATATCACCTTAACATCAAAATAAATGATGAATCAACGGAAATGATTATTATATATCAGATAAATTTTTACCTGAATTATGCTTGCTGTCCATGTATTTTAATCTAGTATTTTTAAGTTTCAAAAAAAATTAGATATATTAAAGAAATGCAATTATTACAGATGTTTCTCTTGGTTTATGTGGACATTCCTTACATGTGAAAAACTTAAATTTAGACACAGTTGATTTGCCCATTAGAAGGCCAAAAATGTGTAATAAATGAATTTGCTTCACTTTAATCTTTTGGATTATTTCCAGAATATGTGCAAACTTCAATTTAGTTTACCACACAAAAATCTCTTAACGTAGTTGAGGAGGTAAAATTCATACCTAGTTAATACAAAACACACACACACACAACAACAGCAACAAACATTCTGAATGGACTAATATTGTAGAAGAGACAGTAAGGTTTAAAGGTGTTGAAAGAAGAGAATAATCAGTATGGGTTGGCCTTAAGGAAGAAAGGAGACTTAAGCTACACCTGGAAGGAGTGACTATTACTGATGCATTGAGGAGGGAATAATTTTTAAAAGTTTAGGGAGAGAGGTTAGTAGAGAACCATTTGTTGCATAACAAAAGACTTTGTTTAATAATCAAATAGAGGGGAAAGTGTCATGTGAAGAAGATGTGGCCAGTTGATAGAAGCCTGCAAATTCCTGGTAAAGAATTGTAGAATTTATTCTTAGGACAAAAATCGGGAGCCCCTGAATAACTCCTTTTTAGACCTTTCAATGGCCTGATTTTAGCAGTGGGAAGAATGGATCAGCACGGTGTTTGATTTTAGTACCTGAAGATTGTTCTACATTTTATCTGCATTTCCCGAAATATATTAAAATGTGTTCTGAAAAAGAAAAAAAAAAAGACACTCATAACAAATACACAATGTACTCTTTTCTCATTTTCAAAGGTCGGATAAAAGTTTGAGAAACTCTTTGGACAGCATCACTATCTTCTTCTAATAAAGAGAGAAGCTCATTATTCCATCCCAGTTGCTTATGGTTTTAGTCATTCATACCAGAAGAATTACCCAGACTTGGATAAAGATAAAAGGCAAAACCATGGTCTTTCCCCCATTGCTTTGCTTTTGCCTTGCAGCTGTTATGGTCCTGGGTGGCAGAGACAGGGGGAATGTTTAGCTTCTCTCCTTTAAGTCCTGACTCAATGAAGAGATGCACAGTGGTAGCTTGGAGAGAAGAGGTTAGATTATAGCAGCTAGTCTCTGGTTCTACCCAGAAAGATGGGTAGCAAAGAAAAGAAAGAGGAGACTACATGTTGGCAGATTTCAACTTCTAATGGAGCTGCTCTCTCAGTCTCTAAGCAACTGAAAAAGGGCAATGCCTATTGATGTCTATTTTGCCTCTTAGTTTTGCCACCCAACTTTAGCTGTGAATTGCCTTAATGGGAGTACTCTATTATCTAACTGAAAAGGATTAACAGAGAAGATATTAAATATAACCAAACCTTCTATTCTTACCACATTTGAAGAATAATTTGTTTTCAACTTCTTGTATAGATACAAACGTGTCTGTACTTTGTGCATATAAGAGATTTAGACAACACTGATGATCATTCTTCAGAAACAAGAACTCTTTATTTGGTTAAAAGGAGCACAGGGACATTTGAAGTTCAGATACAACTCTCTCTTGAGAAGAACATGACACAAGCATTGAAGAAACCAAGAGATAAGATGGAAAGGAGCCACCATTTACTATCTCAAGCAAATCCTCATCAATTAATATGTAATCGTTGATGGACTCCAACCCATTTTCACGTGAATTCATAGTTCCTCTCCTTCCTGAAATGTCAGGATGCTGTGCTTAGTTCCACACTGATGGTGGCCATTCATCTGGTACCAACTCTAAAACCTCTTTGTATACTAATATATTTAAAGGCTACATACACATAAGGAAACCTTAAACAATCTCTGCAACTATCTGCTTCCAGTGTCAATCCCAAATCCTAAACAACCATATTTGCTTTGTGGATAAGAGAGGGACAGCATTGATCTCTAAACTCTCAGAGAGTTGCTTGTAGTTATATATAGGCAACATGTGAAGACATATGATTTATATTGTGTGTCCAGATTAACTGCATTATTGTTTATGCAGCTATTCATAAGGTTATTTTATTACAAAACCTGTTGAATTTTAAACTAAAAATAATTGTAAGGCACATGTCTTGCACAATTGAAATTAGACAATTCTTGCCTCTAAGTAAAATGTTTAAGGAGAACTACATCACAGTTAATCAAATAGCTTCTTATTTCTGAAGAGATTTCCTAAACATTGATTAACCAAAAGCAGAGAAACTGAAAGAATATGAACCATTTCCAGAAAAGAAACTTCTTCTATGGTGATATATTTGTGTGTGAATGTGTGTGTGTGTGAATTCAGTTGGCAAGAGTAATAAATTTTTTTAATCAAAACAGCATGTATTGTAAAATGAAACACCATAAAAATAAATATTAGAACAGTCCATTTTTATCAAACACTTAGGCAAAGGTAAAATATTTTTGCACACTGAAAAGTCAATACAATTTACATCACATTAACTAGATTACAACTTATGAAAGATGAAAAAAATAAAAATAACTGCTTCCAATACACATACTCCTGATGTGTTGATAGCAGTCTTATCTGCACGGCCCGTTTCATTTACTTGAAGTTTGGATGAGTCCTTTAGCAAAATAGGCATGTCTCACTTCATTATTAGCACAGCATATTTTGTAAATGAAATAGTAAACATATCAAAATTATCTTAATATTTGCCTCAAGGGGGAGCTTACAGTTCATCTTGCAGGTCCTTTGAGATGTCAAGCCATTCCAAGCAAATGTTCTGATGCCATTCCTTATACACATCCAGAATTATAAAACTCTATTTTCTTTTCTGGAGTCATGTCAGGGGATTATTATACTTCCATGCCACTTTCCTTTCTGGTGCTCTTTGAAATCCACAGTGTGGACTGGTTTGGACTCGTTTTTGATCTTCCTTTACTAAAAAAATAGAATAAAACATAAGTTTAGTGCAGAGACTAGCAAAGCAGGCATGTCTTGACCCAAATGGAGATCTCTCAGACACTTATTTATAAAATGGTCCTTCTTCTCTCAACAGCATATTTTTTCATTCCTACAAAAAATTCTAGATTATTCCAATGTGTGAAGATGGGAAACAGTTATTGTGAATGATGAACAAAATACAATGTATCTTTTCTTTTTTGAAATCTTCATAATTTTGAGTTCAGATACACCCATACAAAAATGTGTCTGGCACAAAATTTAAAATGTCCACTTTATTCACCAATAAACCTTTATTTGCTTTTATCAATAATTTTTGAAATCTTGATTTTTGAGTATCCTGTCACTAATGTATACTGAATCTGCCATCACATCATCAAAATGATGCTGTTATTCTAAGTGTAAGGATGAGCCTATTCTCTTCCTCCCATTAGTTTTTCTGTCATACTTTTCAGTCACTTGGTTCCTGACAGCTTACATTTACCTCAATCTCTGAAGTCAATGTAGTCTCTGAAAAGTTCCTCCAGTTTTTTGTTTATTTAAATTTCTATTTTAAAGATATGGGTTACAATTCAGGATTCGGTACATAAGTGGTCATTGTACAGGTAAAATTTGGACCTCCCCTTGGTCCCCACTTTGCCTGGTTTTAGATTGGGTACTCTTATTGATGTCATGTGACCCCTTCTCCCCTGACAGTGTCCCACTACTGCCAATAGCTTTTTCATAGTATTACGATAAATGTTTTGAGTCCACTTATTAGTGAGTACATGCAGTACTCAGATCTTTGTTTCTGTGATAGATCACTGAGCGTTGTAGAATCTAAATTCATCCAAGTTGCTGTGAAGTTCATAATTTTGTTTTTCTTTATGGCTGAGTAATAGTCCATCATGTATATGTACATTTTCTTTATCCAGTCCAGTTTTGATGGGCAGCACAGTTGGTTCCATGTTTGTGCTATTGTGAAGAATACTGCAATAAGCATGTATGTGTAGGTACCTTTTTTATAGAGTGATTTGAGTTCCTCCTGGTATAGTCCCAGAAGGGGGATTGCTAGGTTGTATGGAAGGTTGATTTTTAGAACTTTTAGAAATCACCACAGTGTTTTTCACAGAGATTGTACTAGTTTACACTCCCACCAACAGGGTAGTCACGTTCCCTTTTCCAGAAAGAAAAATAAAAAGAAAGAAATTATTGTTTAGTTAAGTGATATTTTTGGTTCTGTTTAAAGAGTCTTTCCCACTTAGAAATACATGGTGAGTATGTCCTCACTCATAAGTGGGACCTGAACGGTAATCATATTAGCACAAGGGGGGGATTAGTAGTCACTGGGCACTGCTGGGGATGACAGGGGGTTGGCGGGGAGGGAGGTTGGGGGCGTTATGTAACAACACAAAGGTTACCTGGACGTATACCAGGGGGAGTGAGGGCCAGTTGGAAGCCCAAACTTCACCTGCATGCAGTCTACTTGTGTAGCTAATCCTTGCTTGTACCCCACATCTCTAAAATAAAATAAAATGTAATAAAAAAAGAAAAATTCCTCTAGATCTGAGATATAACTTAGGCCTTGTCAGATCTAGGATTCTGACCCACATTTCAGGCCTATGCCAGGGGCTCTACTGTCTTCTGCCTTTACATTAAATGGTCACTTTTCAGGCATCTGTAGAAACATCTTTTCCTGAGTTTGCCCAAGTCATCCTCTACCAGATACCCTGTCAAGATCTGGATTTCTCTGATCTGGTTTCCTGAAGATGATCTCTCGCCTGAAGCAGTCATCATTGCTTGTTCTTTTTCACTGTGTTTTGCATATACTTCCCCTCCTGACCACCCCACCTCATTCCCCTGCATCTGCTCCAGTCCTTACAGGCTTTTCCTATCCCCTCCTCTCCATCTACCAAACATTGTAGAACTCCCTTAATAAGGATAAAAACGATTTCTAAACACGTTGACCATTATAATTTTACAATATTGAATTCACTTCCATTTAACTGCTTTTGTTAGTAATAAAATATTACATCCAAATTGTATGTTTTGTAGATTTTTTTATCTAAATAAATAAGATCAATACATTTTATTCTACAAAGTCATCTAATTTGAATGGCAAATAAGTCAAGCAAAGTTTATCAAAAGCACAAACATGTTTTAAATGTTAAAAAAGTGGTTAAGTTATCCATGTGGCTTTGTGTAGAATTAGTATTTCATTTAAGAATTGCTACCAGTAAAGGAAACAAGAGTTATTTTGAGCATGACATGGAATGATAGAAACCATCAAGTGTACCAGGTTGGAATTTAAACTTTCTGCAAGGCACTCAGATGATAATGGAGTTGAGTCTATGATGAAGTGTCTCCTTGCTTTCCTGGAAGAAAGGAAAAGGGGAGGATCTAAGAAAAAATGAATTCAGTACTACAGCTAATTCCAGCACATGGAGGTGCTCTATTTGGGGTCATTTTTGCATTTTGAGAATTTCAAACAAGTGAAAACTCCACAGGTCTTCAAGCTGTAAAAACTTGGGAGACTTGGAATGAATAGAGTTGCCACAGTAATATACTATTTGGAAGAAAGAACACAAGCTTGAGAAAACTCAGTTATTTGACACTTTAGTCATTTTTATTTTATCAGTGAGAAAGTCTAATATGATCAAATCATTTCTTCAAGCTGATTTGCTACTCGCAGGTCTTTAACAATTTGTCTGAAAGGAAGGATTATATCAAATTATACTTCACTGCTTTCTGGGAAGATCTTTCCATCTATAATCCTAGGAATTAGGGCAAGAAACCACATATTTACTGTTGTCTTTATTTACTGTTGTCTTTATTATCTATATACACAATACTGAAAACATTTTAACTGTGTTCCACATATATGTTGGAAATTCAAAAGGACACAGAGAAAAGTATTCATTTGTCAGGCTTTATTGTCTTTATTCATGATGTTTTATTTTAACATCCAATTAATTATGGATTGGATTATTTTTTAAATATATGTCAATCATTTCGAGCTTACATTTACTTAATTGCTTTCTGAGGCATTTGTTACTTAAGGGTTTGTTTTTTTAAAGACATATTTCAGAAAAAAGGTGAAGTAAAGTCAAAAAATAAAATAAAATTCATTTGCAGGTCTTCCTGATGGAGTCCTTCTTGATCAGTCCTTATTTTAAACATTCAAAGATGTCTAGCTTATTCTAGAAAGCATGCTCTTAATTAAACAGAACATCTTTTCCTTTTGATACATATTTATATTTCATTTTTTAATGTAGTTGACAATCGACACATGTAGAAAAACTTCACTTCTCTAATTCCAGGGTATGAGTAAGCAGATATAAAAGTCATAATATTCCCCAGAAATCTTTCTAGTAAAATATACTACCTTATTTCAAGATGCCTGCCAAAAAGTGAGCTATTTTTACCCCTGCATTTTATTTCCTATTCTTAAAGATCTTTCTGAAATAAAACTGAAGCCTACACCTTGAATTTTGAAAAGGTAATACAAAGTGCAAAAAAAATCAAGTCTTGCATATACCTTGACATCTAGATTGAAAAGTTTAGCATTATTATTTTTGAGAAACAGGAAACAGTATAATATAGTGCATATGTTGTAAGCTTACAGGCATTCAAATTTCAGGCCACCACTTACACTAACTATGGAACTCAAGGCAGATTAAGTAACCCATTGTCTTCACTGAAAAATAGAAACAGAAAGGTACCTACTTCATAAGGGTTATAAGGATTAAATGAGAAGCTGCATAAATCTTATAACCAATGTGTATCTTATTCAATTGTACATACTACATTTGTACTATCAAACGTAAAAATCAGAACTTTTTTAAGGTAAATTTTAAAATTTTCAAATATTTCTGAAACTCTATGTAAAAGTTTTCAAGTTGTGTCTATACACATGAATCATTTACCTTTTATGTAGCATCTGGAAACAGCAGGTTCCAAAAGCAACCAGTATCAGTAAGAGCAGCGGTATTGTTGGTATAATAACATAAATTAGATTGGGAATTAAGCCTACAAAAGCAAAACAGTCCTAATGTGAAAAGACAGTTGAGAAAGGATTCTAACACAAGAGTTATAGAATAATTTTTCAAAAAATGAAGGATTATTATCAATAAATAGATTCCAAACAAGGGTCTTCCCAAAATACTGAAAATTCTAATGAAATAATACATAATCATGCACCACATAAAGATATTTCGCTCCCCAATGCACCATATATGACAGTGGCCCCATAGGATTATAATAGAACTGTTTTATATAGGTATACCATTTTTATCTTCTATACCATATTTTATACATTTCTATATTTAGATATATTTAGATACATATATTGTGTTACAATTGCCTCCAATTTTCAGTATGGGAACATACTATACAAGTGTATAACCCAGGAGCAATAAGTCATATCATAGAGCCAAGATGTGTACTACGCTATACCATCTAGGTTTGTTAAAGTACACATTGTGATATTTGAACAGCAAAATTGCCTAATGTTGCATTTCTCAGAAAATATTCCCATCATTAAGCAATGCATGACAGGATTCATGTTTTGGTAACAATTTAAAGCAAAATTGTACTACATTTGTTGTCCTGTTCCAATTATTCAGACTTCCAAAACTATTATTAAATCTGCAATTCAGATTTAATAATGGACTAGTTTTCACAATATATTAATATTATCTGCTAACTCACTTAATTCTTCTCAATCATTACTTAGAAAAACAAGCACTGATTATTAAATCATAATTATTATTAAAATCACAACTTATTTATGAGATAATTACCCTAACCAGTAAGCTCATTGCCATGATGATATGCAAGAGTTTCTGTGATTAAACTAAACTATGTAAATATTAACTGAAGATACAGTCATAACTCAAAGACAAGAGGCCAAACACTTGATCTTAATTAAATTCTAAAATAAATCATTTTAATCCCGTTCCATCACACTTGATAGTGTTAGGTATTCTTAGTAAAGTTAAAAAGTCTATGACACTGAAATCTCGTACGGCTTAAAATAACTTCGACAAACATCTGTTCAATGTTATAAGAGGGAAAATACTCTCTTTTTTTTTGAGTTGGAGTCTCACTCTGTCACCCAGACTGGAATGCAGTGGCTGCTCCCAGCCACTGGCAGCCTTGACCTGCTGGGCTCCGGCGATCTTTCCGCCTCAGCCTTCCAAGTAGCTGGAACTACAGGCGCGCACGACCACGCCCAGCTAGTTTTTGATTTATTGCAGAGATGAGGTCTCGCCAAGTTGCCCAGGTGGGTCTCGAACCCGCGGGCTCAGGCAATCCACTCATCTCAGACTCCCAAAGCATGGGATTACAGGCTGAGCCACCGAGCCCGGCTCGGAAAATACTCTTAATGTAACTATTTACAGATTTCTTTAATCAGGTTTAGATGTTCTGAATGGTTTTAAAATCAGGCACCTAAAAAGTGAAAAATACAAAATCTTAATATCACATCTAAGTAAGAAAAGCAAATTGAAAAACTATGCATTTAGCTTGCAGTTTAAAAGTCATCATCATGATTGATCTAGATAATTCCGGTAAAAGTGGACCAGATGTAGATCAAGCTGTCCACTTAATTCTACATCAGTTAAAGAATAGTTATTAACACAAGACAAGTTAATGAGGTCCAGTGGTAGGGTATTAAGCCTATAATTTGCTATGCTTTCACCTATTCTTTTGTGTGGCTTCAAGTATTTTAAGGATTTAAAAAATATTTCCTTTCCTCTTAGAAATGCCATTATGATCCCTGATATGTAATAGTAGAGGAAAAGAAAAAGTATTTCCTTCTTTCATGGATTTCGAATCACCTATGAAAAGATTTTGAGACTTTGGGTCTTTGGTTCAATCTTCACAAAGCATCTAGAACAAATAAACATTTCTAACCAATGGAATAGGACTATGCTACAAAAAGCGCCTCATTTGCATTGAGAGCAGTTTCTGACTAACTTGCAATTTGCATTGGTGGATTGCATTTTGGTTGCTTTGCAGGTAGAGGTGTGCTAGTGTCAGCGAGGTAAGAGCTCATCTCATTGTGTGCCTCTCTTCCTAAACTGCTGTGCAGTCCTGTCATTATGGCAGCCTGAATGGGCCGGGGTAAGAGCATTTACACAACAGAAATGGGTAAAGACTACAAATCAGGCTTTTTATGTCATGCCTCAATTCCACCTCAATTCCTAAACGGGTACCGGCACACCACTGTTTGTCAGTCATTAAACATGCCGACTTGCGTCCTAACGCCGACACGTAGCTGGGGGAAGTTTAATCTGGGTCAGTAGGTTTAGTACCGGATATACCCACCTGAAGCTAAACTGAAGAAAACATAATCGATTTTTCTATTCAAAAACTAGCTCAGCATAATTTTTTCTAATCTAGTTCAAAAGTACATTTCCATAGGCCTATGCTAGTCTTCCTCAAGCAATGTGACGAATTTCACCAGGGTCAAGGTGAAGGAGCATTGAAAGGTATAGTTCTGTTCTTGATGGAAGAGTTAAAGACACCTGAAGTAATTACCTGCTTCGGTAACAACCACATTTTGATGGGTATCTCCTGGTTGATTTGTAAGATAAGGCTTTTCCACAGGGGCTGTTGGATTAATCTCTGTAAGTAATAAATATAGGCATCATATGTAATGATTAAACAAGAGAAATGGAAACAAAGATAAAAATAAAAGTTGATTATAAAACAATAAAAACATTATGGTTTTCATGTCTGAAAAATTTACAGCTAATAATATATTTACTGATTTTAAATTTACATGACATTATCTAGCTATAAAGTCAACATTTAATTATTTTGAATAAAAGATGTACTTGATGGGTTCTCCCTGAAACCCCAAACTGCATTTAGCAATCAACAGTGAGTCTGTGCTAATTCCTGCTCCAGGGAACCAAGAGAAAGCAGGCACAAAGTCAGGCACAAAGACAAGCAAGACTGGGTGAACATATAAATGTGAGACATTAAATGCAAGTCAAGCCTAAGTGTAGAGTGGTTTTTACTAATATCAGTATACTACTTAAGTTTCTTCTCACAAAAGCCAGTAGATGACTGTAAATGGATTGCATTTGGAAGTTTTGCTTCAAACAACAACATTTTAAGATACATTCTAGCTGGGCATGGTGGCTCATGCCTATAATCCCAGCACTTTGGGAGGCAGAGAGGATTGCCTGAGCTCAGGGGTTCAAGACCAGCCTGAGCAACTTGACGAGACCTCGTCTCTACATTAAGTCAAAAATTAACTGGATGTGGTGGTAGGCACCAGCTACTTGGAAGGCTATAAGGTGACCTAAATAATGGTGTAATTTTGAATGCAAAAAATAAAAATAAATAAAACGAATGGTTGAATAGTCGATCTAAGAACTCAAAAGGAAGAAGCTAATATTGTATTAATAATAATATAATTCATTTATTCAGTAGTTTTAAGTACAGAGTGTCATAAATTTAAAACTTCAGAGAATTTCAACTTTATATTTTTCCAAAGAAAAATAAAGAGAAAGAACATAAGTGCATAACAGACTTAGCTTTGAAAATGCTTCCAGGAGGGTAATGTTGGGTTTAGCAACTAAGGGGGTTAAAGAATCACTCACCAGGGATATAAAAGAGTTGGCTAATATAATCAAGAGCAGAATAAATGTAAGAGAAGGGTAAGTCTAATCCAAATAATCCCTTGTGCTTTATGGTCTTATGAGAAAGAGACTCACGTAATTTCAAAGGAATAATGGAGGCAGCAGTATTCGACTATAATTGCCTTCCGCGAACACATATTATGAGGTCAAGCAGACAGCCCTTCAGAAAAGTTTAAAATGACACTTCCAAACACAGAGGAGAAGAAAATCAGAGGAAAAAAACGAAAAAACCTCAAAGCCTACGAATCTAACTCAACTTTCTTAGATGATGTTTAAAATAACTGAGTTCTGATTAGTTCCTCTTTCAGTCAAATATGAATGCAGTTGAGCTGTCCTAGTCAAAGTAATTCAAATATATACTATTTTAACAGGAGAACACACAAGAACTGCTCAAGTCAATGCAATCTTTCCATTTGCTGCATGTGGCAAGAAGTTGGGGATTTCAAAAGAATGTTAACTAAGAAGAGATATTTCAAGAACGGGAATCATAGGGAGAACGTGTCAAATGCCCCCACTTGTCTCCACTATAGTGTGATGAGCTACTATCAGTGTGATTTTCACTGAGGACCACGTGCCAAGTGTGATGCTATGAAATGATAAGCTAGTGATCCAGAAGAAAACTGTTTTTTTCCCCTTAAATTCACCGGATAATCATCTAAAGAGCTGCTGCTCATAGGGGTAAGTCTATATAGGAGTGTTGGTGACTTGCGATTACTTCTACACATTATACTAATTTTAGAATATTTTCAAATAGATATTTATTGTTTATAAAATCTGTTTATACAGACACAATTTGGTTTTAATAATATAAATGATTATTTTCTCTTAAAGACACCTCTCCAGATGTTTCTATTCCTCTGTTCTTTGAGCCCACTAGGCAGTTTGCGGTACACTGAGTGATATGACAAGCACCAAGGTAATTCCATATTTTATAACAGAAAAACAAAAATAGAGCCAAAGGTAGTGAAGTTTAAAGATAAGGCCTAATATACCAAAATGCACAAAAAGCCTTAGACCTACTTACAGTGCTTCTTACCTGGCTCATACTTGCAAATATAATTGTGCTTCATGTTGCACCTGTCGTCATTCCACTGGTAGAGGTAGGGACCCCCAAGGCCAGGATTGGCAGTTGGTTGGTGATACATCACAACACACTTTTCACTTCCACAGGAAGGTTCATCCGTGTACCAGTTTCTGCACACAGGGAGAAACAGTAATACTCAGATACACAGATGCTAAATGATTCTGCCTGTTCTGCTCTGACATCTTCTACAGGTTACAGAATCCTCCATCCACACTTTGGATTTCCCCAGAGCATCCCTAGACTCCTCAAGATCCGTGCTCACCGATATTGGGAACTGCTTCCATCAGACCACTGGTAGAGATCTGGGCAGGCACCAGATGTTTGTCCATCTCCATTTCTCCAAAGCCCTATCCAGAAATCACCATCGGAAATCCCTGTTCCGGGTTTTGTCAGGTTTTGCAACATGCTCTCTATTAATTTCTGTTCGGCTTCATTCTCAAGGCTAAGGAGGACTCCGCCCTCACTCTCACAGGCCTGTCGTGCCTCCTGAAAGCTCACTCGGCTGGAGAGTTCGTGGAAGTAGGCCATTTTATAGCAGGGGTGCTTGAAGTCAGCAAAACACACCTTTTGACCTGAAAAAAAGTGCCCAAATACTGATAATTTGAACTATATTCATGCCACTGAGAATCAACATTGAGAACAAATCAAAACAGAAAACCAGGAATGCTTCTTCCATTGAATTATTTTGTAAAGTTTATTTCTAGCCTATTACTTTCAATTAGTAAAAGCAAATTAACTCCCTAGTAAACTTGAAACATAAACTTTTAAACCCAGTACTTTCAAGGCAATGTTTATTAGGGGAAGTCATAATTCTTCTGGCTTAGTTTTTATAAACCAATTATCATAGCAAGTGAGAGTAGCTAAAGGAATTTCAGGAGTATAAAATGAGCTAAAAGGTCAAAGTTATGAAAGAAGAATAGTGTAACTCATAAAGGAATTTAATTATCAAAAACAAGTAAAGAAAGATAAAACAATTCTACATAAGGTATTCTGAACAAAGTGGCAAATTTAAGATATGAATATTTGCTTTTATTTTGTATACCTGAGAGCAAATCCATTAAAAGTGAAAGTTAATAGAAGCCAGAATGAAAGTAATAGTAGTGATAAACAACCAGTTATTATTATATTAAATCAGAAGTGACAGGATAGACTTCTGAAGTACTCACTGTCTTTGAAAAAAATCTCATTACTAATTCTATGAGTATTTTCTGGGTCTTTGTATGGACATATTTTGTGTTACTCCCACGCCTAGGCCAATGTCTTTTCTCATTTTACAAGGACATCTCAGATAAGTTACAAATTCCAAATAAAAACTGTCAGACATAAACTGAGAGAGTAAAGTACTTAAAATGCATTTTAATTTTAATTGTAAAAATCTGATGGCTTAAGGAACAGTTGTACTAAATAAGTCATGACATGAAGGAGCTAGTAAAATCCAACCAATGGCTAATTACTATCAATTTCTGACAATTTGGATGGAGATGAGGGTTGGCTAAAATTTGACCAAATTGTCTTTCAAAGACAGTGATATATAAGGTGCTAAATAAGGTGACACATATTTAGCAGACTTGAGAACAAATTGCTTGTCAGTTTTAAAGGCTCTATTATATATTTAACACATACTAAATGGCATTTTCAAATTTAACCTGAAAAATGCTCTACTAAAGTTAGTTCCTTTATGAGTTTGAAAGTAATAACATTGCATTTTCAAACCTTCTTTAATTCATAATTTCACTACATTCAAATTCAAATGCATTTAAATTCACCTTTCCCTGCATTAATCTTAACTACGAGTGGTTTTTATTGCACATTTCTTTAGGAATAAAGACTAGGACCAAACAAATGTCCAAAACTCTATGAATAAATACATAGAATATTCAGAATCTGGAAGAGAAGTTTAAAATGCAATTTTCATTTTAGTATTTTAAAGATTTTTTATAAATCACAGCATTCAGTATTATCACCTATCCTGACACCTGTTGACTTGAAAGTCACTAGATATAGTATACTCAAAATAAAATTACTTCAATTTTGGCTGGAACCATAAACAAAGCTTAAGATATTTCTTCCTGAGCCCGCAGGTTCGAGACCCGCCTGGGCAGCGAGACCTCATCTCTACAATAAATAAAAAAATCAGCCGGGCGTGGTAGCGCAGGCCTGTAATACCTGCTACTGGGAGGGCTGAGGCGGAAGGATCGCCGGAGCCCAGCAGGTCGAAGCTGCGGTGGCTGGGAGCAGCCACTGCACTCCAGTCTGGGTGACAGAGTGAGACTCCAACTCAAAAAAAAAAAAAAAAGATATTTCTTGAGACCAATTAATGGAATTCTGTTCTAACAACATTTGTGAATTCTTAAACATATAGGCTACAAGAATTTGATTTTTAAAAAACTCTCAAAATTCAATTTAACATACCTCTACATTTTACACAGAATGAATTTTTCTAATTACATAGTGATATAACTGCAAGTATCTATGATCACACTTGTCATCATATAGTCATGTATATATAACAGAGCTATTACAAGATATAGGATTTAGCTAACTCTACAAGTAGTGGAATTCCCATCATTCTGTTTCCTACACTCACCAGATTATAGAGACAATTTCTAGAATAGTAATTTCCAGAATGTTCTTACTGTCTAGTCTTGGTTTTTATCTGCTTCTTTTGCTCACCTTTGACCTCTGCTGTCAACTGCCAAGGTTCCCTCTCTGTTACTATTGCTTATCCCCAAACTGCATTCCATAACCTCCACTACTCTCTTAGTGTTATTCTAATGTTAGCTTAAATATGACCTTAGGAAAAGCCTATCAAGTAGTTTATGTAAAATGTAAGTCAAATTACTTTATATTAGGAAATTAAGACATTGTTTTAGGGCTTTCTTATGATTCATCTCCATGAACATTGTTTTTGTTGGGATTGAAGGAGTCTTCTACTGTTCAATTTTGTAGCCTATCAAGAAAAGTTGTCAATTGTCAGGAACTAGATAGGGGTTGTTACTGTTCTTAACACTGGCGAAAAAAATATCATTCAAGCTTTGTACTTTAATTACAGTACATCACACTGAGTTAGTGTATCATAACCATCCAGCTCCCCAGAATCAGCAATTAATGACTTACGATGACACTTTGAAGCAGGAGGGAGCAGAAATCAACAGAAGTTCATTAACCTTACAACAGTGATTCAGTAGTAGTCATTCAATATTTTGACAGAAGCTAAGAACAATCAACTAATAATAAAGCAGTTCCATCAATGCAAGCAACTCAACACTTGTACCCTCTGTCTCATTAACTATGATCTGGACCCAGGAGCAACACACCAGAAATATGAACAAATTAACAGACTGCCTAAACTGTTCATGAAAAATAGCATGTTAGTATGAGTGCCCATGGGAAATGAGTTAAAGAGACTTCAAAAGGATAAATCCACCTGAAAATAAATAATCTTTGAGTGATGATCATGGAAGTCCCAATGGTTAACTCTAAAACAATGGGTATATAATTACGAAGATTAGGTTTTGTGATTATTTCATCATTTAAAATGGTTGTTTCTGGTAATAGTCTAGCAATGCCATTAAGCCTTTATATTTATCACCGTATTTTAGAAGCAAGCTCTGTTTTCATTTTCATATACTACATCCTTTACGTATTTCTAATCCCCGAATGCATTTTAACTACATTCTCTTGAGTTTTCAGCTTGCTCAATTTTTCACCAAGAATAGTCAGCCTTAAATTTTTCTAGCACTTTTGAAATGTTAAATTTGTCTAAGATTGTTTTGCAAGATGTCAAAAATACGTCAAATTAAAAAAAAAAAAAGAATAGCCAGACATTTCAATGAGTAAAAAGATAAATGTTATATATAACAAAGCCAGCACACATTCAAGGGACACTTGTGTATCATATACATGTTACAAGTCACTATCTTTGAGACACTGAAAAATTAGTACAACAAAGATATCTCTGTGATGAGCATATGAAAATGGTGATGTGAATTAACTTGCTTTTAAAATTAAGATAGCACTTTTAATTCAATGCATAAGAGAGCATTGAACTTTTAGTACCACTAGAAATTCCTAACACCACTATGATAGCTAATAGAAAAATAATAATAACAAAATAAAAAAATATATGTACAGAGACTATATTTAAAATAATTAGCAGCCAGGGTCGGTGGCTCAGCCTGTAATCTCAGCGCTTTGGGAGGCTAAGGTGAGTGGATTGCCTGAGCCCGAGGGTTCGAGACCCGCCTGGGCAGTGAGACCTCATCTCTACAATAAATCAAAAAATCAGCTGGGCGTGGTAGCGCATGCCTGTAATTCCGGCTACTTGGAAGGCTGAGGCGGAAGGATCACCGGAGCCCAGCAGGTCGAGGCTGTGGTGGCCGGGAGCATGCAACTGCCCTCCAGCCTGGGCGACAGAGTGAGACTCCAACTCAAAAAATAAAAAATAAAAATAAAAAATAAAATAATTAGCAATTAATACTGCACAGGCCCCAGTCAATAACCAGCCTTGGCACTCTTTGTGCCATGTCTCTGACTGTGGATAATGGAGTGATCCTCCAGTCCTGGACGAGGGATGGAGAAGTTGATGGCCGCACAGCATGAAGACTTCTGTGGCATCAGGACAGCAGCCCATTGTCAACTGGAGTAGATACATTAATTCCTAAGTGTGACTGAATATCAGCTGTGTCTACAGGTTTTAAACTAAAAAGTCACTAACAGTTCAGATCAGCAAGGGAGTTTTCAGGAAATTATAAATGCACTGCACAATTTTTATGGGTTTATATTCATTCAATTTAAAGCTGACACCATGAATTTCTTTGCATCTAATTCTATTTTATTACTGGTTTCCATCTTATCGTGCAAATTTGGTCCAAGTTGCAGCAAAATCAGCAGAAGCTGCAGCTACTAAACCCCTTACCGCCATTTCAGCTGATCACATTAGGTTGCTAGCACAGTGGAACTCCAACAGCTGGGAAACAAATGTTGCCCTAATTCCCAGAAAAATTCTATTAATGCAGATCTTCTGGAAGCAACTTTCCCACTTCTGTAAAGGCTAATCTTCCTAGAGAACCATTATGATTACCTCCCTTTTTGTTCTGTGAGATCATGTGAAGAATTTGACTCTTATTCTAAAATGTTATATTCAGATAAAATCTTCCATCAACGTTTTATGGGATAGATAAGTATTCTGAGAGCCATATAATGGGTTTTATTACACTGAGGTTACAATTTATACTATCTAACTATAAATTACTAAATATCACCTAGCATCTTAATTGAAAACATCCTTTGATTTTTGGCTTATTTACAAGAGAAAGAAAAGAACTGTCTCCCAGGATTCTACAAATATATTGAGGAAAAAGTTCAAGATAATATCTTTACACATATTTTTGTTAATACATACTAGATGTGCACCAGGAGCTGAATAATTTTTAAATCTAAAAAGTAATTAAATATAAGTTTTCTACACTGAATTTTCATAGAACTATGAAAAGAAATATTCAACCCTATGTTTCTCTCTCTCTCTCTCTCTCTCGCGCACACACACACACACACACACACACACACAC